ACGATCGTAAGTCACTTTTTTTTGTGCCGTTGTAACTTTGAACGGTCACTAAACGAACTGTTGTAAGTCAAGGACTACCTGTAGTTGCCTTCCTATTATCCCTTCAATATAATCTTGCAGATTCTTTTTAGTACAGTAGCAATCAGTTCATGTGCTAAGCTTTTTCCTTTTATCAGTGATGCATATTTCTGTAGATAATGCTGAAAGTTAATGAATACAGGTTTGTGAAATAAGCTGGACTGGGCAAGAAATGAAGCTCCTAAAATTATATCTGAAAAGGAAAAGATAGTATTCCCCTGATAATTAAAAACAAACAAACAGTAATTTAGTTACAGGTAGTCCTCAACTTACAACAATTTGTTTAGTGACCATTCAGAGTTACAACAGAAAAGTGTAAAAAAGTGAATTAAGATGATTTTTCACACTTACGACCTTTGCAGCATCCCCGTGTTTATGTGATCAAAATTCAGATGCTTGGCAACTGGCTCATACTTATGACATATTGCCGTGTCCCGGGGTCACCTGATCACCTTTTGCCACCTTCCCCACCTGGATTCAGTGGGGAAGCCAGATTCACTTAACAACTGTGTTACTAACTTAACTGCAATGATTCATTTGCCAAACGGAGCAAACTTTACTTAACTAAATGTCTCTCTCAGCAGTAGAAATTTTGGACTCAATTGTGGTCGTAGGTCAAAGACTACCTGTAGTTTCCAAGTAAAATAATGTGCTTTAACTGCTGATTTGTTATTTATTATTCCCGGAAATAAAATGTCATGCCACAGGTACTGCTAAAAAGAAATTAAGAAAAGGATTCTCAAATTGTTCCCTTGTAAGAGTTGAGAAAGTAGATTTGATTAAACCAGGTAGAAAAGGACAGGTTTGGGTTTTTTCTTGTATTAGTACAATACTATTCTGAGATCACTTGCTTCCTTTTCCACTAAGAAAGTAGTTAAGAGCATCAAGTCAATATGCTCTTTGTGAAACATTTTGAGCAGACTGTATAGTTCAGTACCAGAAAGGGTTTAAGAATTGCCTACTTTTGTAGTTAAAATTCCTATTAAAGTAGGTATGGTCTACTTCAATAAATGCCCAATTGGACAGTAATTTATTACTTCTTTCAAAGCTAAAGTGCATGTTTAGAAACTTTTACACATAAGGTTTGATTTATAAATTATAGACTTTGAGAATATTTTCGTGTTTAAGAACATAAAAGCTGTACTGAATCACCCTAAGATCACTTTCCTCCAACCCAATACTTTCCCAAGATAACTTTCTCAAAATATGTGGGGACAGAATTTTAATATATTAAATATGAATCCAAAGTTCTTCATAAGAAGCTCAACAACTGGCACTTGCTAAGTAAGACCACAAGGTAACTGTGATCTGCTCCTTCTCAGTTTCTTTCTCACCTTTAAACATCATGCACCTTGGTGTATCATATTTAAAGAGAAGAGTTCATGATACCTTGGGCAGCATTTTAGTTTTCCATTAACTGAGGCTGTAGTTCTACACATATTTTCCTACCAGTAATCTGTTAAACATTAGCGGATATCTTTTAAAATAAACTTATATAAACTTACATTGTTAGCTATAGTTGTAATGGTAGGAACTGGAATTAGTAAGAACATTTCTTTCAGGTATTCTGACTTTAAAATTTTCCCCTTGAATCTGAGATAATAACATTTGGGTTCTAGCATAAGATTGTACGTTGTCCACCTGTTCTTAGAATATTGCACCTGTGCATGCTACTTAGTCCAGAAGTAATTTTTTCTAAAAAAAAAAAAAAAGTCCTGTAAATGTCTTGGTAACCCCGAATCCCAGAATAATAGGTTCATTAGCAGGTGATTGTTCTTATTGTCCCAGTTTCCTTTTGCTTTCTGAGAAATCTGCAAATATGCATAGGAGGAAGTCTCCTTATATAAATTTAGATATATCATGGTGTCATATATCTGAAAACTAGGAGATACATTCACCTTTTAGCTGTGTTATTGTCCTTTTTCCAACAGGTTTTGAAAAAGTATCCACATTTATGGTGCATGAGTAAACCACCCAGACATCGCCCTAAACTCTATATCGTAAATCTCCAGGTGAGTTCAGTTTTATCATTTTTGGGTAGAGTATAATATACAGATGCATATGTTTACATCATTTGCTTTTATATACTTTTGAAAGGACCAATATATGCAGAAGGTCATAGACTGTTCCCACTACTGTATACCAAGAATAAATAAATTGTTCTTGAGCAGAAAACATGTGTGGACCTTTGGAGTTTTGTCAATTAAAATAAATACAGTAGCCATGTGGAGCAATTGTTTGCTTAGTTTTGTCTTTTCTTAGGGTAAGATTTCCATGATAATGACTCTTAACATAACGTGAGTAGAATCTGAATGGCATTCAGCTATACTCAGAAATGTACGTCCTAGCTTGATAACCTTCAGACACTTGTTTCCTCTTAAATGCTAGGTTGGCTTCTCTATTTCTATCCAGTGATAATGCACTGATGGTTGGAATGTGAGCTAATTATGTCTTTTTCTTAGTATTCCAAAAGCTTCCCATTGTATTCTGACTTAACACTTTGAAAGATAATTTTATTAGATGCCACAAATTCAAACTAAAGAGAAAGTATTTTTTTTCTTAACTAACTATTGGAGTGTCATTTCTTTTATAAGGGCTAAAAATGTTTTACCAGCCCTGCAATAAAAAAAAACACTTATGTCTGTCTGAATCTGAAGAGTAGCAATGTTATATCACTCCCAAACTGTTTGTCTTTGAGGAAACTAATCCAACCTCAATCTGTATTTGCAGTGGACACCAAAGGATGATCTCGCAGTCCTAAAACTTCATGGAAGATGTGATGATGTGATGAAGTTGTTGATGGATGAGTTGGGACTTCCCATTCCTTCCTATGATAGGTCAGTGAGAACCAAACTTAATGATGATGATGATGATGATGATGATGATGATGATGATGATAAAGTTGGAAGGGACCTTGGAGGTCATCTAGCCCAACCCCCTGCTCAGGCAGGAAACTCTATACCATTTCGGACAAATGGCTATCCAGTTTCTTCTTAAAAACTTCCAGTGTTGGCGCATTCACCGCTTCTGGAGGCAGGTTGTTCCACTGGTTAATTGTTCTAACCGTCAGGAAGTTTCTCCTTAGTTCTAGGTTGCTTCTCTCCTTGATTAGTTTCCATCCATTGCTCCTTGTCCTGCCTTCAGGCGCTTTAGAAAATAGCTTGACTCCCTCTTCTTTGTGGCAGCCCCTGTTCACTTCTGTTCAAGGTCACTTTTGTTCAGGGTCAGACTTGGTTAGTGTCATGAAGTGTCAAATGCCCTTAATAATATAGCTTACTTTTGATTTATTTGGAGGCAAAATTTGTCATCCAAAGTTGTAAGGAAGATGGTGTGGTCCAAATCCTACTGTAGTTGGATACATCTGGCATAGTAGTTCAAAATATAAGCTGCTACTTTGGTTCAAGTTGCTGTGTAAATTAACATTGCATATTATCATGTTTGTCTGTAGAATTAAAGATCCCATCTTTTCTCTGGCTGTTCCTTTGCAACCTGAAGAAGAAAGCAGTCATAACCGAAAACCCGTGGCTCCACCAGCAAGTCTTCATGAAGTACAACTGGGAGAGGAACAACAGATGCATCCAGATCCTCCCTCCGGTGGCTGGTTTGGCAGAGGCTGTGCAAAAGGCACAAAGAGGAAAAAGAACTCTTGATAACAATTAAAAAAAAAAAAAAGATCTTGAGGACCAACTATAGTTGCTAAAATCAGGGCAAGAAATGACATCTGCACTAGAATTCATCAGGATTACTGGGCTAACTGGAAAAAACACAGCTGCTATTTTCATAGAGATTTTTTATAACTACCTGACAAGGACCAAAGCCTAGCTTGGGTTTCTGCCGTTTAAGGGGAGGTTGGCATTTAATACTCAGGGCTGCCCAATTAACAATTATTAATAAAATTATTATAAATGGCTGCTGGCAGTTATTTGAACATGGTTCTTTTGGTTTTGCTGTAGATACCGTACAGGTAGTCCTTGAGTTACGACCACAGTTGAGCCCAAACTTTATGTTGCTAAGTGAAACATTTGTCAAGTGAGTTTTGCCCCATTCTATGAATTCTCTTACCACAGTTGTTAAGCGAACCATTGATTTAAGTCAGTAACATGGTGGTTTTATTTGGATTCCCCATTGACTTTGCTTGTCAGAAAGTCGCAAAAGCTGATCACATGGTCCCAGCACACTGCAGCCATCATAAATACGAACCAGTTGCCAAGCATCTGAATGTTGATCGTGTGGCCATGAGGATGCTGCAACAGTCATAAGTGTGAAAAGCGATCGTTAAGTCACTCTTTTCAGTGTTGTTGTAACTTTGAACGGTCACTAAATGAACTATTGTTTAAGTCGAGAACTACCCGTATTCCAGCACTCATTTAGGTCAGCAATTTCTATATAAAAGCTACCTTGAGCAGCACTCTATTACTAAATTAGAACTGGAAATAACATATCAGTTGTAGATCTGCAACCCTGCTGACTTTTTCATTTTAGAATTGTGTTGTGCACCATGGAAAGGTTTCAACTATCACTGAAACACGAATGGTTGCTAGGCGTAATAACTGTGAAGAAAAAAAAGTTGTGTGTCTTCAAAAGGCCACATGCAGAAAAGAAGAGTGAAATAGGGTTGACGGAAACCCCCCATCCTCCAATAAGTTGCGGGCCTGGACGGCAGAAACGCGCGAACGTCTCCAGTCCGGGCGATCGCCAGGCCCCTCAGTCCAGCCACCCTCTCTGGCCCGCCCAGCGCCTCCTCTCAATCCCAGCGGCTTTTCAAAGGGGCGGTCCTTCGGGGCGGGGGGGGGGGTGAAACGTAACGAGCGCGGCGATGCTTTCGGCAGCTCCGGCTCCTCCCTGGTCACGTGGCGGGGGAGGTCCTGACGAGTGACAGCGGCGAGGTCGGGACGGCAGCTGACCGTCCGGCACTCGCCTGCTGGAGATGCTGCGGAACGGAGCTGCCGGAGGCGTCTCCCCTTTCAGCGCCACCGCCCGGCCTGTGCGCGTCTGGTGCGACGGATGGTGAGTGTCGGTCCGGAGAGATGGACCTTGCGGTCGGGAAGCTTGTCTCGGCATTCCTATGGCAACCGCTGCCTAGGCGTCTCTCCTCCACGGCGTCGACTAGCTGCGGCGCCGAAATGGGTCCCCATGGCAACGCCCCTCACGCTTCCGCTGCTGTTGAGCGGCTGCTCTTCGAGGTGTCTCATCAGCCCCGTGCCCGGCTACTGTGCTTACTCCCCGCCAGACTCGCTGGCCTGGAGCATTTCCTTCCCGTCTTAAGGGCTGGTTTATGCACCCTGGGTTTCTTTTACTATCAGGATGCTGTGGTCAAAATTGGTGCGCCTAGATCTTTTGGAGACTCAACCAGAGCTAAATTTACTGTAAAGCTATGATGGGGGTGGGGGTGGTGGTGGTGGTGGTGGTGAGGGGGCTGTGTAGTATACTGTTGAATCACGGAAGCGTTTGCTGTAGTGTAGCTCATCTGAAATTGCGTCTTTTGGCAAGAGTCACTGGACCTCAGCATTTTTGGTGGAGTCTTTTGGCACCACTTCATTTTTTTGGGGGGGGGATGCGTGAGGTTTCTATCTGCCAGATGTGATTAGGACAGAATTTGTAATGTGCCTGAGCATGTGTCTGCAAGCAGTAGAAATTAATAAGCGGGCCATTTGCATCAACTGCATTTTTTGAGATGAGCTGACTTCCAAGGCTGCCGATCCCACAGCCAAGCATTTGGCAGCAGTTTCAGCAATAGGTTGGTAGCTGTGGTTAATATCTTCGTGTGGCTATATCTCTTTATCTTCTGATTGTCTTGTTTCTGAAACCGTCAGCTTTTAATAAACAAATTAACCCATGTGAAAGGACTGGGTGTACTCTTCCCTGTACTGTCAAAAGGACTTTGGAGTTTAGATAGGCTTATAAACACGAGTTGCCCACAAAGGCATACTTTGAGATTATTAAACATTCTGGGAAGCTACCTTGTTTAGCCACAAGAAGTATTTGCTTTTATCTACTCATGATTTTTATCACTGGCCTAAATTAACTTTTATTGCCATGGATAAAATTGGCGTAAATTATATTTGTAAATGGGTAGGGATGGTATTATAATTGTAAACCATTGCAAGAAGTAATATTGCTCTCCCAGAACTTTGTAGAAGTATCCTGTATTTCCTGTTCTTTTCTGTCAGCATATATAAAGTCAGCTACATGACTCTTGAAATTCAACAGTTTATATTATTGCAGTTTCTATGGCTATCTTTATAACATGAAGACTGTGAGCCAGTTTCAAAATGATTCTCTTTTATTTCTGTTGTCTTCCCAATTGATATTTAAATTCTAACTCAACAGACAAAATCTACCTTAGTTAAATACTGTTGGAATAGAATTATTTGCTTTTGTACAGTAATTGTTTAAACCAGTGGTTCTCAACCTGTGGGTCGGGACCCCATTTGGGGTCGATCGACCATTTCATGGGGGTCACCAAGCAAGGCTGTCCGCCATTTTTTTTGTCTGCCATTTTTTTCCCCTTTTCCGGCGGGTGCCTTACCTCCCTTGGGCTGGGCCAGCTGGTGGTCGGCCTGCTATGTCTCTGCCGCTTGCCAGCTACGCCTCGGCCGGCGCAGGGGGCGGAACCACGCATGCGCGGCGCTCCCGAGCAGGGAAAGTCCTCGACTTACGACCGGTTGGGTAGTCCTCGACTTACGACCAGTTTAGTCCTCGACTTACGACCGGTTTAGTCCTCGACTTATGACCGGTTGGGGTCGCGGCATTAAAAAGGTTGAGAACCACTGGTTTAAACCAACTATTTGGTAATTCAGCAGTTTCACCAGTTTAATGCCATATAAAGTGGTACATAAGTTCCATTATACTGAAGTGATAATTCAGTGTGGAGAGTACCTCATGGAATTATTCTATAGTTGCCTACAGTTAACTAGAGAAATAGTTTTTTGTGTTAAGTTTACCAATCAATTTTATCTCCATATTCACATTGGATTCTAGAACTGATTCCACCATAATTGTTATCTCTGGAAGTAACATTTTAATATTTTATATACATTATTACTACAAAAAATCTAACACATAAACAAATTTACTCCTCATTACTACCACTTTTTGAAGTTATGGTAATTTATGCAGGGTTTTTTCCTTTCTAATAGTTTATAATACAATCCTAGCAATGTAGACTTCTTGGCATTTTTATAAACTCCTTGGTGGAAAAGTATTCAATGTTCCCTAACATGTTTTCCTAGGAATGCCCTGATCTTGTTAGTCCTGCTTTCATTCTGAATTAACCAAACAGCTATTCATTTCTCCCTAATCTTAAGCTTATAGACATCATTTCTTATCCAAATTAATATAATGGTGGTAGCATCTATCCAATCTTGGATGAACTTGAGAATGTTAAATAGAGTCACGTTATTCTCAGGACTGTAAGTTAGACTGGAAAGTCATTTTAAAAAAAAAAAAAAAATCCTAGTAAACAACTTCTGCATTAAGTTGAGGCATAGCAATGTATTGCAGTTGGGTTTGTTGGAATGCCTGAAAAAATAACTCATTAAAGATATCAACAGCCATGGAGTTTCTTAACAGCAGCATCATAACAATTTCCTGGTTGTTGTTTTTTTTAAAAAGGAATAATATAAACCATTCAGTATTTTTTGCCTGAAAACATCATAAAGAAAATATTTAAAATTATAAAGTCAAGAGTAGAGTGCCATTTGAAAAAAAAAAAGGTCATATACTAGATCTACTAACAAGTTGAAATCATAATGGTAAATATAGGGATATTCAGGCAGTTTACCCATGTTTCAGTGAAGTATCCTATGGAATTTCCAGATGAAGTGAAAATCTATAGCAAAAAATTATTGAGCTAGACAAATGTCTAAGGAACCTTTTAGTATTGGTAAAAAAAAGTTAGAAAGGAAACAAACTACTCAGAAGAATGTCACACGGTAAACAAAATAGAATCAAACAATGGGTAGTAAACAACATATTCATGGTATCAGGAAGATGAAGGAAAATATATTTGGCAATGAGGTCATCATAGAAAATGTATTTATTATAAACATGTGCAAGTATTAACATCCTGTAATACTTGTCTTGGTGGATTTTTAAATTGCAAATGCAGCTAATATCAGCAATATCCCAGTTGAGTTACAGAGGAAGGGGACAAATGGACATGGAACTGTTCCAGAAGTTGTCATGGAAACTGGATTTAAAGTCATATGACTCCTGGAAGATAACTCCTGGGAATGCTGGCACTAAGACTCATTCTGAATTGTCATATGATAGATGTGGGCCCCATTAGAAACTGCTTGGCATGTGCTAACATGGGTTATAGCCAAATTAAACGTGAAGGATTGAAGTTCTCCTGAAACTATTCTTATTTTATTAATGTGTAATCCATTTTTCCATTCACACACTTTTGTTTTTAGTTTGGAAAAAAATAATCTGTTATCTTAGCAAAATAAAATATCCTGTATTAATTTATTTAGGCACACTTATTTGTAGAATGCTTTCACCATTTACTCTTTCTTGTCATTATCAATCAGAGAAGCTGCACTAAATGAGAAATGTATTTGTGGAAACTCAGATTTTATTTGAGCTGAATTTTAAGCTAACCAAAAGTGTGAGCAAACCTAATTTCAATAACTTTCATTAGCAAAGTTTTAAAAACAACAGAAAAATGTACAGGGGATATAAATGTGACAGGATTCAAGATGCATTGTAGAAGGAAAAATCAGGTCCACTTCCAAGCTGGGAATAAAATGGAGGCTGTTTGGAAATGAGGTTAGTGAAAAACAGAACCCACAGCAGCATGAGATTCTGGGAGAGCTGACAAAATGGAGTTGGGAGTGGGTGGGTTTTTAATACCTTCTTTGGGCTTTGTATTTGAGGTTGTTCCTGTTCCTGTGCAATGTACTTTGACCTGAGCTTGAGTGTGCCCTTTTGGTATTCTAATGATGGTGGGTTAATCCTATTATGTCCTAAAGCTCATGTTCCTTGGAATCTTTGTTTTTCTAATCCCCTCAGCTCCAGCTTTCCTGTACCAGTTTCCCTGAATGAATTACCAAATCTGCATTTCTAAAAGTTGGTCTGCTTGGGGGAAGGAGACTGGGGGTTGGTTTCTGCCTAAGATTTTTTTCCATTATTCCTTTGAGGAAATATAATATTCTGCCTTTTTTAATATCCCCCAAAATATTTCCTTCTCTAGGAGGGTGGGTGGGTGCTAACTTCCAACATCCCCCCTTTGTGCCATATAAGTGTGGGTGACACACTTTTACTGGCACAAGATTAAGAATTGATCTAATCAGGGAGACTTGATGGGTGCTTCTATTGGGGGGGGGGGGTTCCAGGATGCGGGGAAACAAGTTTTTAAACTATTAATGCAAAGGAAGTCACTGATAGAAGTAGCAGAAAAGAATCCCTGCAGTGGCTCCCAAAAGGGGAGCCTTCATCCCATGAAGTTCTAGAAGCCAGGGCAAAAGCTCTGTTAGGTGGAAAAGAAATTTATGGTGTCCAGTATTCTGTGCCAATCTTTTTTAGACTATTGATGTCACTTCCTGTGAGCTTCCAGTCAGGGTTTTGAAGCACATGCCTCCAATATTCTTCACAGCCATGTTTTGCCTTAGTAAATAATTACTGGCTGCCCATTTTCAAGGGTTGTTTCCTGCCTTAGCTCTTAGTTTAGTGCATCCAGGTTTGTGATGTCAAATTGAAGTTAGCCAGTGTGCAAGCCAGGCTATGAATATTTCTTAAATTGCACACAGTGATCCTTAGGACTCCCAGTGCACCAGTGCAATATATTAAGCTCTTGGGTTTGGAGATCTCTTTCCTGCTACCTCCTCAGTAAGAGCATAGAATTGAAAATCTCCTGAGAGGCATGGTTCCCCCTCCCATGGAATTTGCAGGAAGGTATGCATTCAAAGGCCTAAGTGCACAAAGCAAGAACCAGCCTGGGGAACTTTACATGGGGATAGCCTCAGTGTGATTCTTAATGGTGTGTGTATGTGTGCATGTAGCTATTAATACAAAACAGGTAGTACAAACATCCTGGACAAATTTACCTCCCACCAGGCAGAAATCCGAGGTGTTGCTGTGCCAGAAATCCGAGGTGTTGCTGTGCCAACCATTCCCAAATGCCATACCTCCATAAATCCATTCAATTGAATTTTACAACATAAATGAGGCAAGAAAGAAAACCTTACAATGAGTTTCTGCCCTCCCCCCGGTTGTCTTTCCGGTTGTCTTCTGAAGCTTTATGTGGGGGCCAATGGATCCAGGAAGCCTTCTTTTCTCTGCAGCTTTCACTGGCATCTGGGTGATGTAGGATCTGAGAAGATCTGTTCCACTCTGCTTGCATGGTAACTTTCTAGTCTAGTGGATGGCTGGATCCAAACCCAATTCTCTGGCTCAAATGAATGGAGGGTCTCATCTGGAGGCAGTGTCTGGGTCAGTATGCTCTGCTTCCAAAGATTGTGGGGATCATCTGTGCAGGGCTGAAAGATAAGAGAACAGGGCCCCGTCCCCCCTTTGTGAGTGACTCTCCCAGAAGAGGCATTGCTGGTCAGATATGAGGAATGGAGAACAGAGGATAAGAAATGGAGATGTGGAATGGGGGTGGTGGATAGCTTGCTGACAGGGTTTGAAAAGACATTAAGGTTAACATTGCAGATGTTAAGTAGACAGATGAAACCCATTTAAACACATACAGTAAATGCAAGAATGAAACATTTCCTGCAAATAAATCTAAAACATTCCCTCCTGATAACTTTGGGCTGTTCTTAAAAGCATAGAGAGGGAAGGGGGGAAAAAAGGGAACACAGTTCTCTTCATTCTGATTTGCTGGTCAGACAAACTAGGGTGAAGGTATTTTTCTTTGCTTTGCTTATTTTAACATTATTTTCTAACAATTTTAAATTCTTTTCTCTTTGAATTAGAGACATTTAACAGTCATATTTAGCTAGCACACAAAGACTTGACACACATACACACACACACGAAGACAAGGGAAAGAGAACAAAGAGAAACAGAACTCTTAGATTTTCATATCCTGGTCATTCCCACCATAAATCTCAAATTAGGGAGGGCAAATATCTTAACAAACATATCACATGGTTACATAGATAAGATAAGATAAGATAAGATAAGATAAGATAAGATAAGATAAGATAAGATAAGATAACCTTTATTGTCATTTTTTTTACTGTGGGCACAATGGCACACATCAAAAATGAAATTTTGTTGTCCGCTCTCAAAGTGAAACACATACATGACACAACACCTAAACATACTATATACAACATATGTATAGACCCACACCCCTACACATACATAGCAAATAAATATTAAATACTGTCCATCTTGAATATATAATGGAAGGAGGAAGCTTGAGAGTTCACAAGGTTAATGCTGTATGGAATGAAACTATGGCTGAATCTGGATGTTCTGCTACGGATACCATGAAGCCTCCTCCCAGATAGAAGACGGACAGGAGAAAAAAACACCCAATGTTCTTTTCTTTTAAGTACCTTTTCCTACTTCATCCCTGAGAAGAATCCATTTCCTACATAACTTGTGCACGTGCTTCTTACTCATTCCTGCCTGGACAGGCAATTAGTCCCGGCCCCAGGAATCCATTAGCCTTCCTAAAGGAGACCTCGGTGGGATCCTTGTTCCTGAGCCTCCCATGCTTTTTCCCACCGTCCTCAATAAGACTCCAAGGCTTTCTCTTGGGTCGCTCGCAATCCACGGTACTACACTGCCCTGTGGTACTACACCACCCCCAACAGGTGGGGGGAAGGTTACCTTCCAACCTGTGGTCTGCCACCTTACGGTTTTCAGGCAAATGGCCTGTGAGGACTCTGTCCGCTGAAATTAATCAGAATACAGGCACCTCTTCCCAGGATAGGGCCCTGCTCAGCAATCCTTAGCTAGTTGCCCTCTCATTTCCCTTCAATCACTTCCCACACACTTTCTCTTCTTTTTCTCAAAATGTCCTGCACTCTGGCCAAACCCCCTTGCTTTCCAGGGTTTGTTGGTTGAATTGATCCTTTTTGTGGTTAGGAAAGGAGAGAGAGAGAGCAGGATCCAGCTGTGGCAGAGAGAAATTCCACCTACACATGTATCTCTCTCTCTCTCTCTCTCTCTCTCACACACACACACACACATACACTAACTCACATATACACACATACACAAACAACCTCTTTCGTCTCCTGGGCTTTTAAAGTTAAATCAAGGTAGAATTGCCAGAGTGTTATGAACATACATTTACCAGTACAAGGAATGAGTCCAATGTGTATTGAGTTTGAAAAATTCTTCTCAAAGAAATATATGTAAGATATTAAGTATTTTGGGAATACAAAATATTAAGTATTTTGAGTTTTTTTTCTTAATTTTCTCAGAGTTCCTGATAGTTGAAAAGGTGATTGGCCATTCCCCATTCACTCTACTTTTTCTTTACTAATCTCCTTTTATCCCTGAATAAGAAGACAAGCACCCCCTCTCTAATGCTTCTAATGCTTCAGTTCAATATATTACTGATGCAGCAGAGATAATGAGAATTTCTGCATTTATCACAATTTTAATTTTCCTTTCAGATCAGAAAAATATTTTCAAATTCTAAATATATTTGGACTTTTTACTTGTGGCTCTTTGGGAATACTGTAAAAGTATATCTAAATTTATTGATAATATACATACTTTCCATTTATTAGAAGTCTAAAATGCATTATTATTATTATTATTATTATTATTATTATTATTATTATTATTATTATTATTATTATTATTATTATGGATCGCACAGTCAGCCAGATGTTCAGACTGGATTTGGCATTTTGTCTACCTATTGAGTCCTTACCAAGGACCTGGGATAGGCAGATGTGGATGTTTGATGTTATTACAGATATTGTCGCAGGATGGAGGCGGTTCCTAGTAAGGCCGCCTTTTGCAGTTGACTAATGGTGAATTTGTCAATGCCAATGGTGTTCAAGTGGTGCTCCAATTGTTTTGGGATTGCACCCAAGGCGCCTATTACTATTGGTACTACCCTTCTTGCTTTTGCCACAGTCTTTCTATTTCTATTTGTAGGTCTTTGTATTTTGTTATCTTCTCCAGTTCTTTCTTGTCTATTCTGCTGTCTCCAGACACTGCCACGTCCACTATCCAGACTTTTTTGGCTTTCTTATCGACAATTGTTAAGTCCGGGGTGTTATGTTGCAGGTGCTTGTCTGTTTGAATTCTGAAGTCCCAAAGCAGTTTAACTTTATCATTTTCTATGACTTTCTCTATTTTATGATCCCACCAGTTCTTGCTTACAGGCAAATGATATTTCTTGCAGATCTTCCAAGGCACCATTGTTGCTACTTTGTCATGCCGCTGCTTGTAGTCAGTCTGTGCGATCTTCTTGCAGCAGCTTACCAGGTGGTCCACTGTTTCTTCAGCGTATTTGCATAGGCGGCACTTACTGTCTGTTGCTGTTTTCTCAATTTTGACTTTATATGCATTTGTCCTTAAGGCTTGGTTTTGTGCAGCCAGAATTAGTCCCTCTGTCTCTTTCTTCAATTTTCCTGCTCTTAGCCATTGCCAGGTCTTGTTATTATCTGCTTTCCCAGCTATTTTTTTAATGTACTGGCCATGTAGTGCTTTGTCTTCCCATGCCTCTATTCTGTTCTTCATTTGGTCTTTCTTGTAGGCCAGTTTGGTCTCTCCAGTAGTCAGTAAGCCTTCCTGACATACTAATTTCAGTGTATCTTCATCACTGTCCTTCAGATATTCTTCCAAAGCCATTTTTTCTTCTTCAACCATCTGATGTACTTGCAGCATTCCACGCCCACCTATTTGCCTTGGTAGGTAAAGTCTGTCAATGTCACTGCGTGGATGAAGGGCATGATTCATTGTCATTATTTTTCTGGTCTTCCTATCCATTGCTTTTAGTTCTGCTTGAGTCCAGTCCACTATTCCAGCTGTGTATCTAATGACTGGAATTGCCCAGGTGTTGATTGCCTTTATGGTATTTCCTCCATTGAGTTTGGTCTTTGAGATCTTCTTCACTCTCTTGATGTATTCACCTCTAATCTTTTTCTTGACTTCAGTGTGCTTGATGTTGTCAACTTGAAGGATACCCAAGTATTTGTAGTAATCTTCCTCATCCAGACTCTTAATGTTATTTTCGTGGGGCATCTTGATTCCTTCAGTTTTCACTATTTTTCCTCGTTTGATAATAAGTGTGGCACATTTGTCCAAGCCAAACTCCATTGCAATATCTTGGCTATATATTATTATTGTTGTTGTTGTTGTTGTTATTGATGTTATGGATACCTGAAGTCAAAATTTGAAGTGCAGAGGAATGAAAATAACAGGAAAAAACACTAATAATGGATAAATGTCCAGTAATATAATTGGAAACATATTTACAATTTGCTGCTTGTGAGTAGTCATGTGAAGTAATGGGAGCAAAAGAAGGGAATGATGAAAGAGCTTCACTATTGCAATGCAAGCTCCACTCTTTTTGTATGTGCTTCTTGATACTGTACAAAAGGGGCAGATACTAAAAGCTTCCAATTCTGTAGGCACCACTGAAAAGCAATATTGATGGTACAGTTGAGTAAATTCTTTGTTTTGTGGGACTGTGATGTTCTATGTATGCTAATGGTGGAATCTTGTGAAAACAAGCATTAACGTGCCTTTATAGAAGTTCCTTTGTTACTTTTTGTTTTGTTTGTTTCTTTGTAGCTATGATATGGTACATTATGGACACTCCAACCAGTTGCGACAAGCTCGTGCAATGGGAGATTATCTGATTGTGGGAGTCCACACAGATGGTAAGTAAATTGCATTACAATTTTTGTTTTTCTTTTTAGAAGTCTGATGCCTTGAAATACTTTCTAAAATTATGATTTGTTTGTTTATTCCAGCTTTATTGTTTTAATAAATAACTCAAATACTCCTTCCTCCTCCTATTTTCCCCACAATAACAACCTTTTGAAGTGACTTGAGCTGAGAGAGAGGCCCGGCCCAAAGTCATCCAGACAAATTTCATGACTAAGGTGGTACTAGAACAGACATGTCAAATACAAGGCCCGGGGCCCGGATGCGGCCCGCGACGTGGTTTCATGTGGCCCGCGAAGCCATCCTGGAAACAGTGAGGGAACGGCCTCCGCTGCCTTGGCCCTGGCCCAGGCCAGCCGGGAGCCAATGCACAATTTTGTGGTGGCCATCTATGCTAAAACCATTTAGTCTTAGCTCCACAAGGCCATCTGGAAACAGCAAGGGATCGACCCCTGCCGCATCGATGGGGAGGTGCATGCTGGGGAGGTGTCACCCTTTGTGAGGAATGAAGAAATGCACCATCGCCTGGAAGTGGCCAGCAAATGGCCCTCATTTACTTCACTTATCCGGCTTGATGGGCTCCAGGGGAGGGGTTTCAGCAGGCTCTTCCAGTGGACTATGCCTTGGCGCTTGCCCTGGTCCCACCCCCTTCTGCCAGAGACCCTCAGATCTGTCCCACTCCTGCCCAGGCCCCCACAGGCACCCTTGACACGAATGATGTAGAGCTGGCCACGCCCACCCAGTAGGCCACACCCACTCCAGCCGTGCCCACCCAGTAGGCTGCGCCCACCCTAGCCACACCTACCCGGCCCCCCGAGGACAACCGCAATGCTGATGCGGCCCTCAATGAAATTGAGTTTGACACCCCTGTACTAGAACATACAGTCTCTTGGCCTCTAACCTGGTGCCCTACCTTTTAGGCCTAACTGGCTCTTATATTCACTTCAGGCAGTTTGGTCTTGTGGGTAAGGCACCAGGCATAGAAAGCAAGTGTGTGACTTTGAGTCAGTTGACTCACTCTCTTTTAACCCATGATATGAGGCTTAGGAGACAAGCTGGTTGGTCATATCCTGTCCTGTCTTTTAAAAAAAAAGAAAAGAAAGGGGGAAAAAACACTCTGTACTTGTGGGAAAATGTTAGGAAGAAAAAAAAAATCCCTTCAACCAACATATTTATTAATCTAAACCAGGGGTGTCAAACTGCCGGCCCGCAGGCCGGACACATCATCCAGAAACTGCACCCACCCCATTGCCGGCAATGGCAAAACCGTCCCGATACGTTGCATAACATGTGACGTCGCAAGTTTGACATGTCTGATCTAACCTGATATTGTCATCTGTGATCTACAAGACTCTATCAATTCTGGGCCTTTATTTAGATCTTGGCCTATATTACAAGAATTCAAGTGGCATGGTCAAACTTCAGTTGGAGATAGGTTGAAGGTGTAAAACCTGCAGTCTTCATAAAATCTTGGATACATCCCCAAAGATCTCTCCAAAATTTTGAGATGAATTATATTTTTAATATGGTGGAAATAAAAAATATTAAATACACCAAGACTAATCATAATAACTAGTTTAGTTTAAATTATTTTTTTAAATTGTCATATTTTTTTCTATTTTTTTGTCCACTTTTCAGAGATTGGTTATGGTAGGTCAGTCAAAGATCATGTGCAATCCTTGGTCTGCCAAAGTTGTTCTTTCGTGTTCTTAATATTTGTTTTCTTTACTTTTTTATTATATCTTATAAGGACATTACAATTGATAGCATGTGATAATCAATCAATCAGAATAGGGCTGGAAGGGACCTTTGAGGTCTTCTAGTCCAACACCCTGCTCAAGCAGGAGACCATACCATTTCAGAAAAGTGACTGTCCAGTCTCTTCTTAAAAACCTCCAGTGATGGAGCAGCTACAACTTCTGAAGGCAAGCTGTTCCACTAGTTAATTGTTCTCACTGTTAGGAAGTTTTTCCTTAATTCCAGGTTGCTTCTCTCCTTGATTAGTTTGCATCCATTGTTACTTGTCCTGCCCTCCGATGCTTTTGAAAATAAATTGATCCCCTCCTCCTTACATATAAACTATAATTCTGAATAACACTATTATAGGAAATTTTCATAAATTAAAGAAAAAGACTAATGAACTAAGTGGATGAAAAAAAAGAGATTAAAAAAAGCAAAAAAAGAAATATATAGAAGAAATCAAAAGTTAAAAGCACAGTGAAAAGAACTCCAAAATTTTGAGGTTCTACTTCTTTTAAACTCAATATTCTTAATAATGTGTTGGTGCAAATCATTAAAATTCAAAGGTAAACATTGACCATATAGAATCATCTGGTCTGATCTCGTCTCTGTTGAAACAAAATTAGTTCAAGGGCTGAGTTTGACATATTATAGACCAACCAACCAACCAGAAGAAATAGATGAACTCTTTGCCAACCAGTTAACAAACATATGTAGGAAGTATACCACAATAGTAATGGGAGACTTCAACTATCCAGATATCAACTGGGAGACAAACTCTGCACTGAGTGGGAGATCAAACAGATTCTTAATCAACCTAGCTGACAACTTTATCATCCAAAAGGTGGAGGAGGGAATTAGAAGTAAAGCTATACTGGACCTAATCCTTACTAATCAAGAAGAAGTGATAGAGGGAGTTGAAATTGCCGGAACCCTGGGTGAAAGTAACCAAGTCATGCTGAAATTCAATATAATGCAAACACAAGCAGAATCCTAAACTTCAAAAGAGCAAATTTTAATAAACTCAGAGAAAATTTAGGAAAGATTCCATAGATGAAAATCCTAGAGGGGGAAACAACGCAAGAAGCCTGGGAAACTCTGAAAAATATGATCCTAAAAGCTCAGTCCAGCACAATACTACTGAAAAAGAAAAACAAGAAATTCAAGAAGAAACCAGCACGGCTGCACAAAGCTCTCTCTCCCTCCCTCCCTCCCTCTCTCTCTCTCTCTCTCTCTCTCTCTCTCTCTCTCTCGCTCTCTCTCTCGCTCTCTCTCTCTCTCTCTCTCTCTCTGCACAAAGCTCTCTCTGAAAGACAAAAAGGACAAGTACAAAAATGGAAAGAGGGACACATAAGTAAGGCTGATTATCAGCAGACAGCCAGAACATGCAAAGACGAAGTCAGGAAAGCAAAGGCTCAGAATGAATGAAGACTTGCAACAGAAATCAAGGACAATAAAAAAAGTTTCTTTCAACATATTAATAAGAAGGAAACTGTAGGTCCACTAAAGAGAGAAGATGGCAAAGAAGTAACAGGCAGTAGGGAGAAAGCAGAACTGCTTACTCATTCTTTGCATCAGTCTTCACCCAACAAGAAATTATAGTCCAACATACCAAAACAGCTACTACAAAAGACAAACTAAGCAAGAAAATGGTAAGAGAACACCTATCCGACCTTGACAAATATAAATCACCGGGACCCGACAGTTTACATTCCAGAGTTCTGAAGGAGCTAGCAGATGTTATCTCAGAACTATTGCACCATATCTTTCAAAAATCCTGGAGCACCGGGGGAAGTACCTGAGGATTGGAAAAGGGATGATGTGGTTCCCATCTTCAAGAAAGGAAAAAAAACAGACCCAGGAAACTACAGACCAATCAGTCTAACATCAATACCTGGGAAGATCCTGGAAAAGATAATAAAAAACAGATCTGCGAACAAGTAGAAGCAAACAAACTTATAACCAGTAGCCAACACGGGTTTGTTAAAAATAGATCATGCCAAACCAATTTTATTTCATTCTTTGATAAAGTGACTAAATTAGTAGACCAGCGAAACGCTGTGGACATAGTATATACTTAGATTTCAGTAAGGCATTTGACAAAGTAGACCACAACCTGCTGCTTAGTAAGCTAGAAAAAGGTAGGATAGACAACAACACCATCAGATGGATCTGTAGCTGGCTGACAAACTGTACTCAGCAAGTAGTCCTCAATGGTACTACAACCACATGGAGAGAAGTAAGCAGTGGGGGTACCACAAGGTTCTGTCTTAGGCCCAGTACTCTTCAATATCTTTATTAATGACTTAGATGAGGGAATAGAAGGGGAATTCATCAAATTTGCAGATGACACTAAACTGGCAGGAATAGCCAACACCCCAGAAGACAAGCTCAGGATCCAAAAAGATCTTGACAAACTTAAACAATGGGTCCTATTCAACAAAATGAATGTTAATGTGGAGAAAAGTAAAGTTTTACATTTAAGCAGGAAAAATCAAAGGTACAATTACAGATTAGGCAAGAAGTGGCTCAAAAACAGCAACTGTGAGAGACACCTTGGAGTCCTAGTGGATGATCACTTGACTATGAGCCAGCAGTGTGCAGCAGCAGCCAAAAAAGCTAATACAATCCTGGGTTGTATAAACAGAGGCATAGAATCAAGATCACGCGAAGTATTAGTACCACTTTATAAAACCCTAGTAAGACCACACCTGGAATACTGCAACCAATTTTGGTGATCATACTATAAAAAAGATGTTGAGACTTTGGAAAAAGTTCAGAGAAGAGCAACTAAGATGATCAGAGGCCTGGAGACTAAAACATAAAAAGAACGGCTGCAGGACTTGGGTTTGGCCAGTCTAAAGAAAAGAAGTAATAGGGGTGACATGTTAGCAGTATTCCAGTATTTGAGGGACTGCCACAAAGAAGAGGGGGTCAAATTATTTTCTAAAGCACCGGGGGGCAGGACAAGAAACAATGGTTGGAAACTGACCAAAGAGAGAAGCAACCTGGAATTAAGGAGAAACTCCCTAACAGTGAGAACAATTAACCAGTGGAACAGCTTGCCTTCAGAAATCATGGGTGCTCCATCACTGGAGGTTTTTAAGAAGAGACTGGACAGTCACTTGTCTGAAATGGTATAAGTTCTCCTGCTTGAGCAGGGAGCTGGACTAGAGGTCCCTTCCAGCTCTATTCTATTCTATATTTCACTGAAACAACATTTAGAATTTGGTACACAAACATCTTTCCAGAC